TGTCCGCAAGCCTGCATGCGGACTCACCAATGCGCAACACAAGATCGTGGCTGTGTAGAAAAAAGAGTGATGAGAAAAAAGATGGTATGTGCGTAGAGGACAGAGATACCGCATACGTTCCACACTCTGTATATCGTTGAAAAGATTCCTTATTATGCATTAACAATTCATGCCAAAGCCAGAATAATTATAATCTGAAAAATAAAGCAAGCAGAGCAACACGCATTCTCGCAAAACACCACAACAGCAATAAAAAATTAGAAGTAAAGAAAAGATAGAAAAATTTTTTGAGAGAATAATTAATACCAAAAAAAATGAAATTTTTAAAGAAAAGTTACATACAAGCAATTATGAAATATTGAAAGGATCGCAGTGAGAAAAAGCAGAGTAAAGCAAAATCATCGCAAGACACAGGAGACGTGTACATCAAACGAGACGACGAAATGTACTGAGACGCGTGATAATGGAGAGCTAGGCATGCCAATCCGATGGAGAGGGAAAGGGAGGGGGAAAAGGGGAACTCAGGAACGGATGATGAAGATAAAAATGGAAATTGATATGGGAATTAAAAATGTGAAGATTTTATAATAGGAAGATAAACTTTGTCAAATTTCTCCGTATCTTTCTGAACGTTGAGACCATTGCTCTGTCGTATAATATGGATCATTTCAGAGGTGGTTCTTCTGAGAAAAGAAGCATCTTGATCCAAAACCTCGACATAATCCCATGCAAAATCATGTCCTGTAAGTCTATGTTGAGATAAGACAGATAGATGTTCGGAGGGTCGATCAATGTTGGATCGATGCTCATGGATACGAGTCGAGATCATTCTACTCGTCTGTCCTACATATGATGCTGAGCAATCAGAACAAGAGATTTTATATACTACATTTGAGTGACAATCCCTTGGGAGAGGATCTTTATGCGTTTTAATAAAACAGTTCAATTTATTCAAGACCACATGGGCCAAATATTTGTTAAGTTTGCAGGCAATGTCTCTAAAATGTTTTGAAACTCCCTTGATGTACGGAATAACAAAAAATGATTGAGTGGAAGAGGGAGAAGGAAGGGGGGAAGATGCGGGGGGAGGAACAGACTGATTATGAATCAGGAGTTTAACTCTGCTTGTGATGGTATTAAAAATGAAATTCTCCGGATAATCATTGCTGGAAAGGATCTCAGAGATGATACCGAAATTCTTCTCATGATATCTCGGATATGACAATTTGAAAATTTTGTCTGTGAGTCCAATAATTACTCCCTTTTTATGAGCCAACGGGTGTTGAGAGAAGAAATTGAGGAACCTTCCAGAAAAAGTAGGTTTCCTATAGTCGAACTCAATATGATTATTATTAATAATGATAGTCACATCTAAAAAATTGAGACGACTATCCTTGGCAATCTCCATAGTGAATTTCAGCCTATCATGAAAGGAATTAAAAACAGAATTAATGAGATCCAAAAAGGAAGAGGGAGCAATTAAGGCAATGTCATCAACATATCTGAAATAAAATGGAAGGTGAAAGGAAGCTGTGAAATGGCTTTTTCTTCAAGGTCTTGGAGAACGAGGTCCGCACAAATAGGAGAGAGAGGGGAGCCCATAGGTGTTCCAAAAATTTGCTTATAGATTTTATCATTGAATCTGAAAAAAGTAGAGTTAAGAACCAGTCTAAGTCCGATAATAAATTCAGAGAAAGGAATCTTAATTTTGTTTTTAATTAAATGCCAACGTTTTCCGACACTTCCAATAATAAGATCCGTGGGAACATTGTCGTAAATAACGACACCACATCAAGAAAAATGAGTTCAAGATGGTCATCCACATAAAGATTATTAATCTTATCAACCAACTCATAGCTGTTAGCAATGTGGCTCTTACAATGTGGGAGGTTGTCATGAAGGCAATTATGTAGAAAAGTAGCAAACTTGTGGAGTGGGCTATTAATGGAAGAAACAATAATTCTTAGAGGGAAATTAGGTTTGTGGATTTTTGGCAGGCCGTAAGCTCGAGGTAATGTGCCATCGCTACAATACAAAGATCGTTTTTTAGAAGCCGAAATATAATCCAACCGTTGCCATCTTTTCAATATGTCGTTCAGCTCATTACATATTTTTTTAGCGGGGTCTCTATTAACATATAAGTATCCGAGTCATTCAACAAATCATTCATTTTTGCAATGTACACGTCTCTATCGAGAACGACCGTGGCATTACCCTTGTCTGCTCTCGTGACAATCAAATCAGGACGATCGGACAGAAAGGTTTTCCAAATTTTATTGAGTATATTCAAATTCTTAATACTGTATATTCAAATTCAGACAAACATCTCGAATCATTAATATAATTACCCAAGCATTGTACCGTATAATTCCTAATGTATTGAGAGATCTCAGAATCCATTCTCCTTACCCCACATTCAACATATTTAATAAATTCGAATGCAGAACGGCAAGAATTTTTTGAGTTAGGTAAGCTAAATTTATCACCTAATTGTAACAAGCACTGTACTTCAAAAGGAATGTTTGAAGAGGAAAGTTTAATGAACCATTTTTTATTAACAGAATATACTCAATTATCAGATAAATTATAATATAATTATCAGATAATCGTTTATATACTCAATTATCAGATAAAAAAATACAGTTTCTACGTTTAGTGAGTAACTTTTTGTTTTCACCCATGCAATCGGTTTAATTTTTTTTTAAGAGTTAACTCATTTTTTAAGAGTTTCACCCCCTTCAAGGATGAGTTCCACCCTCAAAATGATTTTTGAGGTACAATGAAAATATATGGTCTCAACATTTGTTGAAAACATGTTCAGTTGCTATCTATACCATGGGCGTATTAATCCTAGAGCGATACCCCATTCCAGGGATGCTTACCGCCTTCAAGGATGGTTTCCACCCTTAAAAAGCGTTTTGGGAAAAAATAAAAAAACACGGCTTTAATATTTTTCAATGTTCTACAAGTGTGCGCAGTTTTATCCAGATCGGTGAATGACAGTTGGGTAGTGTTACTTGTGAGTTTTAGGTGTCCGATAGCCGTCTCTCTCGCTTGATGCTCAAACGAGAGAGTGCGAGCGAGACAGTTATATACCGCGCGGGACACCGCGCTGTTTCAATTAGTGATGCCAGATACCGGCCTTTCGGTAGCATGCGGTAGCATGGAGGGAGTAATAGAAGGAAACAAAACATGATTTTCTCTCGCTTTTTTCTCGTAGAGAAGAGTACAGTATCCTCAGTATTTTTACTAGGGACGTTTCCGCTTTTTTCAATTTTACGGAGGTGGTCGTCCTTGCCCTCCCGGTCCCCTCGACACCGGGCCCTATCAGATGAGGACGGGAAAGGGCCGCGACAGTACCGCTCACACTCGCCAAGTTCCGGAGCGCTCCGTAATCCCTAGGCTGATGCAATTCTTTTTTTTCGTAGACATGAATCACCATACTAACAAAAACCGTCAAAAAACTAGACGGTCTTTGGGGCTCCGCCCCTCCAGACCGCAACGACAGTCAGTGATTAATTGAAGCGCCCCAGGAGGCCGGGAATCTCTTAAGCCTGCTCCCATCACAACAAGATGGTGTCTACGGAGGGATTCAAAGTCATATCATATCGAACCACTTAAAATTATACAACTTTTACATGGAACATTTTTCTTGAAAATGTTTTATTTCCAAGATAGTAAATCATTTATATCATTTAAAATGAAAGACTTTGTATATATATGTACTCCTTTAAGATTGTCGCAAATGTGCGAAAACACTCTATGTATATATATATATATACATGATATATACATGATATATATATGATTAGCGAGCAACCTTTTCAAAGATTCTCCATGGCCATCGACATTGCATCCATCGAGCAAAATACCATCTCTCTGGAGTCGTATATCACTGTGTTAAAAAGCAGTATTATTATAGGTGTGAGATTTGGATAGCTCAGTAGTCTAGAGCAGTTGCTCAGAAAACGAAAAACTCGAGTTCGATTCCCGATCCAGCCACTTGCACCTTATATATTTTTCTAGTCCAGGAATATTGTTTTCTATTAATTATTGGGCTGAAAAATATATATAGAAAAAATTTCCTCTCACATATATCCCTATCTTATCTGGCCTTTAAGGAGGTATCGTCAGATACGTGTTACTTAAAACAAAAATTATTTCATTTATCCAGATCTATCACCCCTTTAAGTTTATCACAAATGTCCGGAAAAACATCTTATGTACACACACACACACACACACACACACACACACACACACACACACACACACACACACACACACACACACACACACACACACACACAAAATGTTTTATTTTAATCGCCCTAGGCAAATATCTCGAAAAATATAAATAATACGTTTCAGATAAAAGTTGTTCGAAGAGCTCTTCCTTTGCATCTCCACTTCAAAAAAGACTAACTTAACTCAACTTGTATCCATACACATGAGATATCTCTTATTTTGCATGATTATATGAAGTTTACAACTTTCTGTAGAAAGTAAATTATATCCCATATCTCGAACACAGGTTGGGTTAGATTAATCTTTTTGGGATGGGAGTATAAGCGGAGAGGCGGAAAACCTAACCTAACCTCTCCTTCGTCTACATGTCTACTTAAAAATTGATGTATACATTTGTTCTGTAGGTAAACGTGTAGGCGGAAGAAAGGCTCCGCTCCTCTCCCTGCATCCACCTCAAAAAACTTAACCCGTATGGGATATACCTCCCATTTAATACTTTTTACTATACAATTTAATTGTTAATAACTTTTTAGTAAATAATAGTGACCAGCTAAAACTTTTTGGAAATTACTCTGGGTTACTGTGATCTTGACAACGTCAAAGTCATTCATGAGATTATTGTTAATCTAAACATTTACCTTATTTTTAATCACAAAAAATATTTTTTAACGATTTTTTGATAATTGATATATTATGTATGACAAATTGATTAAACTTACCTAATTTAACTTGTAAAATATTTTTGTTTTTAGGTTTGCCAGAGATATTAATGTTGTCGATTTAATGTTATCGATGTGCATATTTGATGTTATAGTAATCGGACTTATCTCAATCACAGTAATTGTTATGATCGTAGCAGTTACTCCATGGTTGGCTATACCTTCTCTGTTTTGTGTTTGCATTTTTATCTTCTTACGCAAAATATACATTTGTACAAATCGCAGTATCAAACGCCTTGAAGGAACAAGTAAGTAAGCTATACGCAACTTATAAAAAACGATATTTGTAATTGATAAATAATTATGAATCTAATTATATAAATAGTCATGAATCATTAACTAAACAAAAAATCGCTTATTGAATAGATTATAGATATTTATTGTAAATAAATATACAGGGTGTCTGATAACCCTATACAGGGTGGCAGGGAATTTTTGACCTTAACGAAATAAGGAGGTAGATTGGCTCAAATTAAAAAGGAAGGACCTCTATTGTTTTGTGATTGTCGCAATAATTAACGAAAAATTAAATAATGAAGATCAGCCAATGCGCGTGGCTAGAAGCACACGACGGCGAAGGCGGTCTGACTGTAACATAATGGCGGCGCGCGGCGAAACGGTGATTGGGGAGAAGAGGAGCCTTCGTCACGCGCTTACATACTCATCGCTCCTCCCCTCCCCAATCACCGCTAAGTCAAAAATTCCCTGCCACCCTGTATATTAAAATTCTCGCACACAAATGCTCTCCATAGATAGATAAATTTATTTATTTCTTGCCTTTTGACATTGAAAGAGGTTTTACATAAGATAAAAATTGTAGATTTTATAATAATATTTTACATAAAATATGCTTAATTTATATAATGTTGCTTTCTATCTTAATTAATTTCAATTATTTCTAGACTATTTTTGATAATTTTTTTAGTTTTCTTAAAATATCTTAATATCGCTAGTAGAATAATCAAAGGATCATTGGAAAATAATATAATCGATCAAAACTAGCCAAAATTCTTTTTTATTTATTTAAAAAAAATTTTACAACGTTTCGACCAGATGGTTGTGGTCCTTTTTAAGTACACTGGAATAATGATATTGATAATTAGATTTTCAACAATTTGAACGGACAGCAACACATAGATTAATTGTGAACAATTTAAGTACATACAGTTCAAATAATAGTATAACAATGTAAATCTTATATAAATCTTATATCACAGTTGCAAGATCATTACGTCTTGGCATATTTGAAAAAGAAACGTTGTGTCAGTGTGAGACTTCGTCAAAAACTGAATATGTTGAATCAAAAAATATTAAACTACACGACCTTTATTATTTTGTAGATGTTATTTAAGCTATCCGTGTCTTTCTGTAGGTTAATTAAATTATTGAATTTTTTAAAACATTTCAGCAATTTCTTTCTTTTGCACGTGTTTCTCACTGTGTAATATATTAAGTTTCGTCCAGTCAAATTCGTGTTCAGATTCTAATTTATGTTTGTGTTTTTTTGTTTTATTTTCTTTTCTTAATCTTAGAACTTTCTTCATTCAACTGATTCCCTCTCCCTTTTCTCATATTTGATTCATTCTTTTATTATTCCTCATACCTTCTGTACAATTTGTTGCTAAATGTTGTAATGTTTCTACTTCCTTCTGACATATCCTACACAATTTCTTCTCCTATTCACGCCAAAATTTATTCCGGAGTTTTTTATTTCCATATCTGAATCTATGATCTTTCCGAAAATCTTTCTGACCTTGTTTTCTTAAATGTTCCTACTGTGTATAACTCTCTATATCTTATATCTCTCTATATCTCATATCTCTCTCTATATCTGGAATTCTGAATTTTATTCTCTTGGGCTTGTTTTTGATTCTCTATATCTCTTTTGCTTAGCATCTGTACTAATTCAAAATTTAATCTTCTCTTAATTACTTTCTTAATCTTTTAATTTCTATCCTGGACATTTCATTTTTTTGAAAATGCATTTCCCTGTTTGGCTCCCATCTATTTTGAGCTTTTCTATTTTTCTCTACTTTCCTAAAACACATTCTTTCAATATATTATTGTTTGATTTCTTCTTAATTTTTCTTCAAAACTAACAATTCTTTTGCCTGTTTCTATTCTTAAAAATTGTCTGTTTGTTTCTTTCCTAACAGTATAACTTGGAATGTTCCAATCTAATATTAGCGTCCAGGATAATTTTATAAATTTATTCTGACATTTTTCCATAGTCTCATATTCCTTCTGCTCCATATATTAAAATACTCTGTACTAAATGATTAAATATCCAGATCCTTCTCCTAAAGTCTTCTGCGAATTCTCTTTGTCCTATCCATACTATTTCATAACAAACATAACTTTTCTTTAATATACAGGGTGTCCCATTTTACACTCAAATATCTCACAAGGAGAGGTTTAACTTTTGGGATCACCGATTTTGTCGAACTTTGGCAGGTATGTAGTATTCATATAGTAGTAACATACTATTCGGAGACAATGCGTCTCTCAACCATTAACGAGAAATCGCGGTATGAATTTTAGCTCCTTTAGTACCGATGCATTAGAGCCTTTTTTCGAGTTACGGCATAGCATAACTAGAAATTAGACTATAAGTAGGAAGGTTGCTGGTTCGAATTGCGTCAGTTTTGTAAATTTTTTTTCTTTTTTTTCATTTCCTATATTATTATAAATTATGTTACAATATATTTTCTACTATTATTATTGTTTTTTATTACAAAAACAATTTTTTATAATTTAAATACTGTGCAGAAAAATCTTTTTTTCAATAAAACTGGCGATTTAGATATAATAATTTAAGACCTTTCTCATGAGAAACGATTCATATTCAATTATAATATTATTCTCTATTCATTCGAATGCGTTGCCATTGGAATAAAGCTACAGGCTCTTCCTAGAATTTTATGTGTTATATTTCTTAAGGAACCGGTTTTCAAACCAGTCTTTTTGTTTGCCTCTGGCATTATGATTATATAAATATCATGATATTAATATAATAATATAATAATACAATAAATTAATATAATAATATAATAACATATTAATATAAATATCATGATATTAATAAAAATGTGCTTGCGGAAAAATTGAACTTATAAAATGTGCTTAGTGCAAATCAGTACTATGTTTTACTTGTTTTTTTTATTTTTATCATCCTAAAATTTGTAAAATTACAGAGCAAAAGAACGAATAAGCGCAATCATTTTATAATTATCTTTTATAACACTTTCTTATAATTAGCTTTTTGTATGCCTCCAATCAATAAATACCAAATCAATAAATCAATAAACACACACACACGCGCGCACGCCCTCCATCCCTGTTCCTCCGAGCGCGAGTATATTATATTCGCCTTGTGTTTTTGACGGCGTTTTCACTCCCCTTCGCATTCTCCTCTCTAACACCTTAAGGAGTGTTGCAAAAATTAATAAATTGAATTGAAGAAACGTCGCAATATATATATATATATATATATATATATATATATATATATATATATACAGGGTTGGGCAAAAGTCCGGAAACGGTCAAATATCTCGAAAAGGATCAACTATAGCGAAAAATTGTAAATAGCAAAGTTGTAGGGCTTTAAAAAATGTACCTAATGATGACTAAAAATTTTACTTTGAGTGGAGGACGAAGATCATATAAAAGTCAAATTGAATTTTTTAAATGGAACTGCCTACTTTTTATTGCATATTCTTATAGCTGACCTCGAGAGCTTTCCAAAACACTATAATAAAATATTTTTCCCTCAAGCATTTATCGAGTTATGAGGCTTCAAATCATTTCTTAATTTTACATAAACCGTAAAATATCTTGTAAAATATTCACTTTTCAATTATTTTACCTTAATACTTTTATGTACAAAATAATGAGAGGAATCAATTGGTCTAAAAAAAAACACATAATTGTTCCGAAGAAAAAATATGTAATTTGCAATTAATAATTACATATTTTTTCTTCGGAACAATTATGTGTTTTTTTTTAGACCAATTGATTCCTCTCATTATTTTGTACATAAAAGTATTAAGGTAAAATAATCGAAAAGTGAATATTTTACAAGATATTTTACGGTTTATGTAAAATTAAGAAATGATTTGAAGCCTCATAACTCGATAAATGCTTGAGGGAAAAATATTTTATTATAGTGTTTTGGAAAGCTCTCGAGGTCAGCTATAAGAATATGCAATAAAAAGTAGGCAGTTCCATTTAAAAAATTCAATTTAACTTTTATATGATCTTCGTCCTCCACTCAAAGTAAAATTTTTAGTCATCATTAGGTACATTTTTTTAAGCCCTACAACTTTGCTATTTACAATTTTTCGCTATAGTTGATCCTTTTCGAGATATTTGACTGTTTCCGGACTTTTGTCCAACCCTGTATATACAGGATGCTAAAAAAGTATCGCATACGCTCAGTGCCATCCGATAGAGAATGAGAATTTAAGAAAAAATGTCTAATACTATTTTTCGATCCCATGAATAATTTCGCCGTAATTAATTATTGTAATCAATTAATCAGCGCGGAGCTACAAGAGGAAGCCAGGGGCGAAGCGCGCGAAGTCTGCGGCATGACGGCTACCGCGCTAGTCATCGCGCCACAGATTTCGCACGCTTCGCCCTTGGCTTCCTCTTGTAGCTCCGCGCTGATTAATTGATTACAATAATTAATTGCGGCGAAATTATTCATGAGATCGAAAAATACTATTAGACATTTTTTCTTAAATTCTCCTTCTCTGGATCGGATGGTACTAAGCGTATGCGATACTTTTTTAACACCCTGTATATATATATATGTATATATACAGGGTGTTCAAAAAGTCCCGGTACGGGGAAATAACTCGAAAAGTAAGGGTCGGACAAAGAAACTTTTCGGACAAAAGTTGTAGGGCTTACTCCGAGCTTTTATCTCGCGACCTTGAGTTTGACCTTCAGCTTGACCTTCAAGGTTATTTGAAGGTCAAAGTGTTTTTTTTAAATGGGAACCCCTATTTTTGATTGTATGTTCTTATAGCTGACCACGAGAGCTTTCCAAAACACTATAATAAAATATTTTTCCCTCAAGCATTTATCGAGTTATGAGGCTTCAAATCATTTCTTAATTTTACATAAACCGTAAAATATCTTGTAAAATATTCACTTTTCGATTATTTTACCTTAATACTTTTATGTACAAAATAATGAGAGGAATCAATTGGTCTAAAAAAAAACACATAATTGTTCCGAA